TAAAAAAACATTAAAATAGTGTTTAGAACAATTATCTGCTATAGTAGGCCTTTTCATAGGAGAAAAGTACAAGCACAGCATGTTCATGTAATTATTTTGAACGGAACCCCTCCCTCATACATTTCCATTTTTTTTCCTGCTTCTCACTAAGTTATGAACAATCCCCCTTTCTTCCCAAAGTATGAAATAGCAATTAGATAAAGTATTAGAATGACATTATGGGGAAAATATTCTCTTCCTCTACTGTGGATTTCAAAGAGAAATGCCACTGCTTATGTAGTCAGCATGGTACCAGCTATGCACAAGAGGAAAATAGCAGGGGATCCGAGACAACCTAAGTATGAAACACTACAAATAGTCATAGTGGGAAAAAGCCACAAGGTTCATTTATTCTAGCGTCTTGTTTCCAGGCAAATGTTTTATGAAGGTCTTGAATAAATATAAAGGCAAAGCTGATAATAATCTCCTGTTCAGTTTTTCTCTTTTTGAAACATCTTGCAAAATTGCTGCTAACAGCCTGGGGGGGGGGGAAGTGATCCCTGCTCCCTGTCAGATGAGACTATCCATAGTGGATCTTCGTATTCATGCAAACATCCCAGGAAAATACCACTGCCATCTGAACCAGAGGGAAGGATTTCAGAGAGTGTAATCCTGAAAACCCTGTGGAATATCCCCCACCAAGCTTCAGGTCTTCAGTAAATTGTCTATTGGGGCACTCAACTGTATAATTACATTCCATGGAGAAGGGGCAGAGGTTAGTAGTAGGGTAATTTGTCTTTACCATAATTACAGAACTATTATTTAAATCAGTGTTTCTCAACCTTGACAATTTTAAGGCATGTGGACTTCAACTCCCAGAATTCCACAGCCAGCATTGCTGGCTGTGGAATTCTGGGAGTTGAAGTCCACATGCCTTAAAATTGTCAAGGTTGAGAAACACTGATTTAAATTGTATACGGGACCATATAATAAAATAAATAAAACCAGTACTATGAAATAACTTTCAATAATCTATTAGGATCAACTGTAAGACTGGGTGAAAACCAACTGATGAAATTTCTTGGATGAGAAGTGAAATGTCTTCTTCTTCCTCAAAAACAGTCCAGTTGCCTTTAGATGAAGAAGAAGGAAAAAAAAAGTACTTTTGAGGCAACTATTACCTGGATGACTGAGAATCTCCATAGACACTGAGTGAAATGTACTACTGGAACTGTCCTTAGTCCTGAACTTGAAATCCTGCATGTTGCAGTTAGCATTCATGGTTTTAATAATGGGTATATCAGCAGCCATTCTACTTCTTTTTTCATCTCCTCTAAGAAAAGGGTTTACTAGACCCCTTTTATTTATTATGTAATTTATTAGAGATCTTCTATTGGATTGTTAGTGGCCTCCTATTCGAGAAATTAGTCTACATTTGCTCGGAGAACTGGAGCTATTCTCATAGGTTAACCTGACTTACTATGTCCTGTATTTATTCATGTATTATCTATAACATCTGCTCTTAAAATACATTTTTTCAATATTAAATATCTGTAGTGTTTCTCTACCAAACTTTGGATGTAAAATATTTTCCACAAATGGTTAGTTTTTTTTAAAAAAAAATCTTCAAAGACATTTTCATCTAATATTTTGTTGTGCCAGTTATTTTTTCTAAGTGCCTATCCCCATTTTTTGTCTGCAACAATAATCTGAGAAGAAACCAGGAACAATATGCAAAAATTATATATAATCAATTATTAGGTCATAATGACACTCATCCAGTCAACTGTGACTACAAGTTGAACTCAGTGAAGTCAAGCAAACTTCAAGAAAGGATGAATTCTTTTTCAATGAAAACTATAACCTCATAACCAAAAATCAATGTAAAACACACTGAGTAGTGGGGAAGAAAAATGAAAAATGCCATTTTCTTCAGGCCTACATATTTCCTCAACTTCACTTAGTGAAAAGATTGAATCAGTAACACTATGATACTTGATTAGCATGCACACTGAAATTACCAAAAAAAATCTACATCCTTTTTATATGAATATTTTATTATTAATCAATTTAATTTGTATTAGAACATGATGTAAGATATAGACCATGACAGAATTGTAGGAATAGCAAAATGCAAAAAATAAAATAAAAATCAACAAACATTAGAGCAAGCAGAGTAGCTTCCTTTGGAGAAAAGGTTTGAGGCTTTTTAACATAGACAAATGCTGTGGGAGAAGAACATGACTCAGGCATATAAACATATGCATGAAAGATTTTAGATAATAATAATAATAATAATAATAATAATAATAATAATAATAATAATAATAATAATAGACAAAACACTATATGGCCAATACATTAAAAAAATAGCTGGGAAAGCAGATAATAACAAGACCTGGCAATGGCTAAGAGCAGGAAAATTGAAGAAAGAGACCGAGGGACTAATTCTGGCTGCACAAGACCAAGCCTTAAGGACAAATGCATATAAAGTCAAAATTGAGAAAACAGCAACAGACAGTAAGTGCCGCCTATGCAAAGAAGCTGAAGAAACAGTGGACCACCTGGTAAGCTGTTGCAAGAAGATTGCACAGACTGATTACAAGCAGCGGCATGACAAAGTAGCAACAATGGTGCATTGGAAGATCTGCAAAAAATATCATTTGCCTGTAAGCAAAAACTGGTGGGATCATAAAATAGAGAAAGTCATAGAAAATGATAAAATTAAACTGCTCTGGGACTTCAGAATTCAAACAGACAAGCACCTGCAACATAACACCCCAGACTTAACAATTGTCGATAAGAAAGACAAAAAAGTCTGGATAGTGGACGTGGCAGTGCCTGGAGACAGCAGAATAGAAGAGAAAGAACTGGAGAAGATAACAAAATACAAAGACCTACAAATAGAAATAGAAAGACTGTGGCAAAAGCAAGCAAGGGTAGTACCAATAGTCATAGGCTCCTTGGGTGCAATCCCAAAACAACTGGAGCACCACTTGAACACCATTGGCATTGACAAATTCGCTATTAGTCAATTGCAAAAGGCGGCCTTACTAGGAACTGCTTCCATCCTGCGACGATATCTGTAATACCATCAAACATCCACATCTGCCTATCCCAGGTCCTGGGTAAGGACTCGATAGGTAGACAAAATGCCAAATCCAGTCTGAACATCTGGCTGACTGTGCGATGATCAATAATAATAATAAACCCTTTATTATCAAAGTATAACATGTATACGGTGAAATTGGCTGAGCCTCCCTCTGTGCCCCCCCTCACCACAAACTCACGGTGACTACAAACCCCCAACTTATTTCACCTTGTGAACTAATTACACATCACACTGGCCTCACAAGTTTGTCATGCATAAAGTATAAAGATAGGGAAAACTCATTCTATGAAGTTGAACTGTGGAGTGTTTGGGATAGATAAAGGAAGTACTTCCCAGCTAGTGATTGTTATCAACATGCTCAGCTTTAAAGGGCAATTAGATAAATCCATAGAAGATATGTTTATCAGTATATCTTAGTTGATTCATTTATATAGCAGCTCTTATTATGAACCATAATCCTGTGCAACTCACAAAATAATAGAACATAAAACGCACAGCCACAATAGAAATTTCCTGTGTCTAGGGATAATAGTCTCCCATACATCTTTGCAGTCTCATTCTTCCCCATTGCTTGGATACATAATGATATACTGTATATTAATATCATATTTTTAAGCAACATACTGTCAAAATCAGGAATATACCATTGCCCTCATGGTTTATTTGAATGCATCCCTGAGGTGCATTGGTAAATGGGGAAACAGAGTGCCCTGGCTTATACCTAAATCTTTTATTTTCTTATATTCCTGGGTGTACATCCCATTTATTACCACTTTGCTTTTTCTACTACACTGACTGTTTAAACAAACTATTAAGTTTGTCTAGGGCAGGAATGGCAACTTAGGCCAAAACCCCCCTTGTGTTATGACTTACATGCTGACTGAACCAGCCTAATCTTTATTTACATGCTGATTAAAACACAATTTTCATTACTGTACCACCAAAAATCATGGATTGTAATCCAAGAAGAAGCATGTTAAATCTTCTGCAGGAGTTGATAAACGTATTAGCTCATTCATGGTATGAGGCTGATGATCTGAAAGAATTCCAGATAATTCCTTTTGATAATCTAAAATAGAGGTATAAATTTCAGTTTGTAGCTAATAGAAACAGAAACTTCTAAGTTCAGTGTAAGAAGTAGAGTGTGGCATTTCATACAAATCATTTCTAAAGAACAATAATGTTAATACTCACTTATGCTGGTTCCAGCTACAAAGATTTAGTAGTCTTTAGAATCTTATTACATTGTTGGCATATTACTGCACAACAGCAACAGTAGTTTTTTGTTTTCACTTTGTGATCTACCAGTAATGTCTTGGTCACACTATACAGCTAATTTTTGAATACTTTTATCACTTTCAAGGTTACCTATCAATGTGAACACAAACTGTTTATAAGATGCTCAAAAGCATTTTAACATCATACATGAAACTCCAAAAGAAAAAAAAGTCCAAAGCTTTGTTAGCAATCAAACCGAGCCTTTATTCTATTTTTTTTTTACCACCTACAAATTCAATTCAGAATCAGTCAAAAACTTCTGCTTCAGCACAGCAGAAAGAAAAAAAGCAATTAAGAATTGCTTAAGCACAGAGCCAGGGGACATCTAAATACACCAGGTATTATTATGTACCATCTTTGAACATTCACGCCTAGAATGCAAGGATCTGAACTCATTCATTCACTCACTGACTCATTTATTCATCAAAGTACCAGTGGCAAACTGGAGGCTGTCCAATAGCACAGCACCATGCTGACAGCCACAACAACACTGTATTGTGGGGCTCGTTCCATACCTCCATCAATGTTTTTATTCAATCTAGTTGGAAAAGAAAGGCAAGGAATTTAACTGATGAACGTAACAAAAACTTGCTCAGACTTGTTCAGACAAGAAGCATATTTAAATGTTTACCAGTGCAATTCTTTTGAAAGTTGGGATTCTCTAAAGGATGACCTGGCAGGCGGCATTGGAAACGATGTTGCCAAAACTCAGGGAACCAAGGATTTCTTTTGTTGGTCTCCAGTCTTATTTTCAAAAAGTAATCATCAAACGATAAGACTTCTGGAGACTGCAGCTTAATTGTGATGCCTCCACTTGCTTCAGCTTCATAACCTTCAATGACTTCATCTCTATCTGCCCATCCATCACTAGAAGACAAAAAGCTGCAGTCAGGTCAAAGCACATATCCAAATTGTACTTAAGTAGAAGCTGTTTAATGCATCAGAAGGCAATATAAAGAAAAACATGATTATACTTTACCACCCTTTTCTCATCATTGTATTATTTAACATTTATTTCTTCCTCCAATAATATCTTAAGTATTGTATCACTTCAGAGGGTATAGCTACTATAGCTGCATATTTGTTCTCCCCCCACCCCACTCTAATTTTTCACTGACCTACAAAAATAGCATCATCAAAACTAAGGTGGGGGATAATAGAAGACTCTCGATTTGAGGAATCCAAAAATCAGCATTCTCAAATACTCTTTTTACAGTAGCAAAATTTTATACCGGGAAATAGCATTCTTTTTTTTTAAATAATTTTTTATTTTTCCAAACTCTCCTCCATACATATATCGTGATATTTATCAGATGTTAACATACATTCTTTTTACATTTATATGTAAGATACTTTTAATAAAATGAAATAAATACATACACATGACTTTTGGTGTTGCTCGCTCATTTCCCCTTTCACTGTATCCACACTCCTTCTTCTCTACCTTCTTTCTTGCTTTCTTCTCTTCCCTACTTCCCTCTTCTTCCTCTCCTCTTCTCTTTCCTTCACCACTCTCCTCCCCTTTCTCCCCACTTCTCCTCTTCTCCTCCAACCTTCCTACTTCCTTCTCCCCTCCTTTACTCTCTTCTCTCTCCTCTCCTTTCTTCCCTCTCATCCATCTTCAGATACAATTCAGGGGTAATATCCGAGCAACTCCTCTCTCCAAATTTCCCTATCTGTATTATATACAATAAGATTAATTTTCTCTTACATTAATACTTCTATTTATCTAATCTTCTCGATATATACTTCTATAAATATTTATACAACCTCCAGTTATTCAATACTGTGTCGCCTGGATCTCGCTCCTTATCTGCTCCTTCTTCTTCCATCTGAATTGATGTTAACTATCTTTTAACCGTATTCTCTTTTCAGCCAATCATAAAAATTTCCCCAGATTTCATAGTAGTCTGACTCTGTCTTATCTTTAATTGTCATTGTTAAGTCTATTCATTTCTGCCCATTCCAGTATTTTCCCAATCACCTCTCCCTCTGGGGGAGGGGGCTTTCAGTGCTTTCCAATTTTGTGCAAACACAATCCTGGTTGCCTTAATTATATGAATAATTAAATATGTTTTCTCTTTATTGTATTTCCCTGGTAGAATACCCAACAGGAATATTTCTGGTCTTAGTTCTCGGAAAATAGCATTCTGATTACTCAGTGACCACGGAGTAATGTTGAGTTGTCTTTATGGGGAGAATGAAAGTTAGTATCAGTGGAATCAGTGGAACAACCTGCCTCCAGACATTGTGAATGTTCCAACAATGGAAGTTTTTAAGAAGAGACTGGACAACCATTTGTCTGAAATGGTATAGGGTTTCCTGCCTGAGAAGGGTGTTGGACTAGAAGACCTCCAAGATCCCTTCTAACTCTATTATTATTGTTATTGTTGTTATTATTATTATTAAAAATTAACTGCAGAAGAGAGGGAAAAACAGCAAATTGTTTCTTGTTTCCCCAAATTATCAATATGGTGTCTATTATTATTATTTGATGTAACAATAACTGTCTCCCGAGTCTTGCTGTACTATCTCATCATGGTGGGAACAGGGATGAATGAAGAATACTGGAAGTGTACGTTAAAGATACACATTCCCAGCAAGGTCACCCAAGACATGAAGGTTATCTCAGCTGTCCAGCTAAAGCAAGCAAGTAGTTATATTGAACAGTAGTGACATACAAGAAGATGCCAGAGACAGTGACAAGGTGGAGGCATCAATTCATACTGTGTGGGAGGAGGCAATGGCAAGCCACTCCTGTAATTTTATCAGGAAAAATCACATGGATAGTGAATATAAAATGGTTGGTAAAGGGTAAGAGAAGAAGAGGATGATCAGCATCAAGGTGGATGTACTCAGAATGGGGATGAATGCATTGCTGAAAGATTTGAAGGACCAGTTAGGAACAAATTGTCATGGAGAAAGTCTGTCTATGTGGTTGCTAGCAATTAACACCAACTTGATGCCACATAATCAATAAAAAGATACTAGCAATGTATAGTATTTGTGCTTAGCTAGCACAGTTTCTGAAACTGATCAGACAATTTAACCCAGAGGACTGTAAATTAGAATATATCCTAATATGATAGAATGGGGGGAAAAACATAACAAAATTGTTCAGGATAGCCAGCAGGATCACTGAAAGAAAGCCCACCTGCTATTCATGAACATTGGCACTGGCTTGTCTTACAAACAAATAAATTCTTGCTCATTTGATACTGCAGATGAGAGCCAACTGTGCTAAATAGGAGGAAGAAAGGATCACTCGGGTGAGTGTATTTCTGGCTTTTTAAATATTGGCTCACAAACTTTTAAGATCACAGTTTAGTGCTTCCTCCCCTTTTTTTTTTTTGCCTCCAAAGACTCATAGCTTGGCGTTTTAAGTGCAAATGCAAGTCAGACTGCATTTAATTTTTATGGTCATGTCACCAGAAAAGCAGACTAAGTTGGCATCTAAAAAAGTGTATGCTGCTATCTAGAATGATACCAGCAGCTCTTTCTGTCACAGAAAGAGCTCTTAATTCACTGGCTCCTCATAAAAGCCAAGCAGGCTACAAAAATCAATGAGACTTAGCATAAAGAATTTACATATCTGACCTGAAGCTGTTTTCAAAGATTGTTCAAGATATTCAAGAAAGAAAAAAAGTACACAGATTCCTTGGAAGGAATACCTATTAACCTTAAAGCACAAAAATAATTCCATGTAGGCAGAACATCGGAAAGATTTGAACTGTTTCTTAAAGCACAGACAAGGCTGTGGAGATTCTGTGACTCCAGCACCTTGTATCTGCATCACTAGAAAATTATAGTCAAGGAATTAAAGAATACTCATTTAAAGGATTCTGGGAAAATGAAATTTCCTACCAGACCATGGGCCTATAGTCTTCCTTACAGACTTATAGCATGCACCGGGGTTTCTCAAGTTTTGCAACTTTAAGCTGTGTGGACTTCAGCTCCAGAAACCCTTGTTGGCTGGGAGAATTCTGGGAGTTGAAATTACTTAGGACCAGGGCTTTTTTTCTCATAGAACACCCAGAACGGAGTTCCGGCACCTTTTTTGGATGGAACCTTATAGGGTAGGCAAGGCGGGTTGTATGATGTGTGTGAGTTCCGGCACCCTTTTTTTTTTTTTTTTAGAAAAAAAGCACTGCTTAGGACTAAATTTTAGTTTGTATTGATTAGCCATAATATGTGGCCTGAGATGGTATACGTTCTCCTGCTTGAGCGGGTGGGGGGGGGCTGGATTAGAAGACCTCCAAGGTCCATTTCAGTTCTATTCTATTCTATTCTATTCTATTCTATTCTATTCTATTCTATTCTATTCTATTCCACTATAACATTAAGGCCTCAGGATACAATAATCACAGCAATAACATCAAGAAAGAAATATCTTCCTTATTTCCCATACCATTCTAAACTAAACCCAAACAAGCTATGATGATTGGTGTCCAAGATAATGCAATGATGCTAAGACCTTACTCTGAATCAAGGCTTTCCAAATTCAAGTTCAATTCATGTTGGACCACTTTGCTGAGTGTATTTTTTTTTCTAATTTGCTTCTGAAAATCCAAACCTATTGTACCAATGGGAAAATTAACGAAGGGGTAAATTGTTTATGTTCTGGGGGAAAAAAAACCTGGATGAAATCTGCAGACATAGGATCGTCTTATCGGTAAAATAAATCTGGCAAATTGTATATAAAATAGATACATAACTTTTTTGTTCAAATAGCCTTCATTTCTTTTATGAGAAGCAGCTTACTGTATTTTAGACACATAGTAGACCCAGTTTAAAAGGGGATATCCACCCCGAAGGCAACTCCTATTATCAGGTACAAGATTCTGAATGATTTCCCAAATAACAAGTAAAATTATAGATTGTTATTTATCATTAATATATTATAAATTCTAAATATTTGCCAAATAGAAAAAGTCAGAGAGAATTCATTAATCCTCTTTTAACTGATACACTGTTCATTTTGTAGCTTCACTCTGACTTAGTTAACTTACATGCAACTATGAAAAAATCTGGTGTTTTATAAGAGAGAGAGAGAGAGAGAGAGAGAGAGGGAGGGAGGGAGGGAGGGAGGGAGGGAGAAGGAGAGAACTGACCTGTGACTTCAGGATATGTTTGCGACAATCAGGATGGCTGCTAGTTTTCTCCAAGCAGCCCTAATTTGGTTGCTTAATGTTGCACAACTATGGCAACAGCTGTCTTCTTTTACTGGAACAGGTCACACAAGGAGAAGCAGTCCAAAAAGAAAAAGATTTTTCTGCTCCTTGGGATTCACCTGGGATGTCACCCACTGACATCATTCCTTTGAATTAAAGGCATCCCAAGAGGACTCTCTTCAAATGCTAAACACAGAACTCCATATCATATTTGGGGGCTTAGTGCTTGCTGTGTAAATTGATTCATTCTAGGTCACAAAACACATTTGGTGACTTAGCATAATGTCCTAATTCTTTACTGCTGTTCATAATTTAGGGAAAGAGTCAACATGAAAGTTGGATCATGACAGACAAAATGCTACACACTAGGTGGCTGTATCCAGCAGCCAGAGGTTGATTTTAGAAAGTTCACTCTGGGTTATACCTGGTTATTATTTATATGAGAGACAACATGGGGATTCTATAAATGTAGGTTATTGAAAGTAGAAAAAAATATTCCAGAAGGAGACAATACAGTGTGTTATTGTTGTTGAACAAAACTACATGAATGGAGCACTAACAATTCCTTGCCCTTGGCTTGATTAGAAGAGAATTCTTCAAATGTATTAGTTTCTTTGGATTATCAACTACTGCAGCAGATAAATTACCTATGCATAGTTTTTGCACAGTCTGCTACTAATGTATTATCAAATAAAG